GGCTGCCGCCAAATCCGTCTACTTGAATGGACCGACCAATCGAAAAAACCAGTCGTGTGGGTTTTTTAATCGAGAAAACCAGTCGCGTGGGTTTCCCAATCGAAAAAACCAGTCGCTTGGTTTTCCATGTTCCGATCTTGAATCCCAACGTGCCTTGACCCACCTGCTCAGCAGCATAGCGCCTACCGTGGAGGAGCTTGTGTTGAGGTACGGCTGGCCTCTGGAGGGCGTGCGTGTGGAGTGGAGCCGCCTGCGTTGCGTTTTCGTTGGTATAGATCGTGAGAGCACGGGGGGGATTAGTTATAAATATTTTCCGGGGGATCCTGGAGATTCTGATCTTCGGGAGATCATTCGTTCGGGAGAAGAAGATGGCATCAGCAGCAGCACCAACGGTTTGGTCGTCAATGCTCCGAAATTGGAGTCGTTTTACGATGCCACATGGCTGCTTCATTCTGAGACAGCGAGACTTACCTTATATTGATGTGAGAGTTGAACGAAGACGCACGGAGGTGGTTAGGGTAGTAAGTGAGTGGAACCAGGTGTGAGGGTCGATAACGGTGGTGGCAATGGTGTGGGAATGGGGTGGTGTGGGAATGGGGTTTTGTGACCATGCGGTTGCGTGCACCTGTGTGCTGTACCCGAAACCCTTGGTGATGGGATGACCACAGGATGGCGATGGGATGACCACAGGATGGCGATGGGATGACCACAGGATGGCGATGGGATGACCACAGGATGGCGATGGGATGACCATATGATGGCGATGGGATGACCACAGGATGGCGATGGGATGACCGTATGATGGTGATGGAATCTAGATGAGGCTAGCTGTGGGGGTGGCAGTGGTGGGCATCTGCGGTGCTTGTATAGCTGTGGTTCGGTGGCGCCGTAATGGCACATGCTGCTGCCTGCTGCCTGCTGCCTGCTGACTGCTGCCAGAGCACAGGGCTGGTGCTCGACCAGCTGAGCACAGTGAAGCAGAGAGCTTCGTAAGGGCTGGTTGTTATTTATTGATTCAATGTATGGATGTGTATTTTTGCTTGATTTTAATGTTCTGTGTTTTGCTTGCTTTACTTCCCATCATGATCCCTCCCACTTGTCTTGGATACATACATTTTTTCTTCTCTAACTGGTGCACTGATGCTTCCGGCATCGAGTGCAACGCAGGACTCAGCTCAACCACCACTACATTCCTCTATACCCACGTGTGTTGTTCAGTGCACATGCGGTACATTCCTCTGTAGAAAGAAAACAAGCACACGTGTGGGCATCTCACGTAAACCTCAAGTTCCCCACACTCATGCTCTCCAGAAATCATATGTTCAGCTCGGCTGATACCAGTAGCTGCAGGTGCTGTTGCTGCAAGTGCTCTATCCACTACTGCTGTTACAGTCACGCCCTGTGGTTGATCCCTACGCCCTCCACCACATTCGCCCTCGCTACAAGCACATCCAGTAGAGTCGGGTGCAAGGCCTAGTGAGCTGCCATGCGGTGCTCTCATCTGCTGCCAGCAGTGTGAGCGTGTACTCTCTGTATCCCGGCACCACCACCACTTGCGCCTCCAGCACTGAGATCAGCAGTCGCCTGCGGGGGAAAGGGAGAGGGGCGGGGAGAGGGCAAGGAAGGAAGTAGACAGTGGGCAGTGAGTCTGAGCATGGGCTGCGAGCCAAGGGAATGGTGTGAAAACTGACCCTTGTGAAGGGCGGCCAATCCCACCCTACCCCACCCCACCCCATCCCATCCCACCCCACCCCACCCCATCCCATCCCATCCCAACCCATCCCATCCCATCCCATCCCATTCCATCCCATCCCATCCCATCCCATCCCATCCCATCCCATCCCATCCCATCCCATCCCATCCCATCCCATCCCATCCCATCCCACCGCTCACCTGCCTCCCATTCGCACTCGCCACCACCTCTCTTGCCACTCGCTGCACATCCTCCCCTGACAGGTCAACGAAAGTCAACTCATCGCCACATGCAACGGTCGGCCGCCGCACCACGTGCCTCAGCGCTATCTCCTGCTCCTTTTGAGACGTCTCAAAAGTTGCCTCAGTGCAATCTCCTGCTCCTTTTGAGACGTCTCAAAAGTTGCCTCAGCGCAATCTCCTGCTCCTCCTCCGTGCTCGCGTGCTCCCACATGGTGAACGCGAGCACCCTGCCTGCATGGTGAACGCGAGCACCCTGCCTGCATGGTGAACGACCTCAACCCGTACTCCCCTCCCGCTCCTCCTCCTCCTAATGTTTCCACTGTGGCTGCTGCTGCGGCTGCGGCTGCTGCTGTTGCTGCTGTTGCTGCTGTTGCTGCTGTTGCTGCTGTTGCTGCTGTTGCTGCTGCTGGCGCGGCTGGAGTGCCTACGGGTTGTGAAAGGGCAGCGGGAGTGAGGGCAGATGGCGCAGGGGCAGCAGGCGTGAGGGCGGATGGTGCAGGCATGGCACGGACCCATGAGACAAGGGCGTCAAAGGAGGCGGTGCAACCGCACAGCCGGCTGAGCGCCGTCAACGAGAGGCGGTACTGCCGTCAACGAGAGGCGGTACTGCCATCAACGAGAGGCGGTACTGCCGTCAACGAGAGGCGGTACTCCTCGTGGTTGCTCCAGTCACCGGCGCTCCAGTTGCCTCGGGTAAAGCAGAAAGGAAGAGGAGAATGAGACACTTAGCCAGCTTGAATTTAAGAGTGCTGTTCTTGAAACTATGATTTTCGCCTGCCTCGCCGTGGCCTTGTTCTGCTGTGCTGTGCCGTGGCGAGTCAGCTTGGGTTCTCAAGTAAGAGTACAACACTTAGTCGACTGTAACTCGAGTAGCACCTCGGCCGCGTTGTGTTGAGCCACAGTGTGATGTGTCGCGGTGTGTTGTTCGACTCAATCAACTCTTAAATCAGTCATTCTGCTGCGTAACACGGTGAGTCACCTTGAGTTCACTCACAAGTAAGAGTACAATACGAGTCTACTGAGTAAGAGTCTACTCAGTAGACTCTGACTACAGTCTCACCTTGGCCGCGTTGTGTTGTGCCGTGGCGAGTCAGCTTGAGTTCAACTTTTAGTGACTCAAAATTCAGCTTGAATTCAAGAGTAGAACAATAAATCGACTCTGTGACTCACCTTGGCCGCGTTGTGCTGTGCCACAGCGATACGAGCCATGGCGATTTTTTCCTCGCCACCCGGCTAGTCGAGGTCCAACTCCGTATTAGGGTTTGGAGGGGAACCGTCCGCCGCTGCCGCGGACAACGGCGGAAGACACGCATGACACGTGGATGCCACGTGGCAGAGGATAAGGAGGCACAGCGGGAAAGTCGGACACCGCCGCATCTCAACGCGACGGCACGTCATGATCGCCCGTCTACTCGAGTGACTCTGTGGCGATTTTTCTTACGTCGCGTGACGGATAGGCGTCAGTACCGGAACGCGGAGTTGTTCTTGCGACGGGCTTCTGCGATTCGCGTCTTGAATGGTCTTGAGTGGTTACCACTAATAGCGTCTGGTTCCGCAAGAATGCATTTTTCCCACCCTCTCCTGAACGATCAAAAGCTTGTGAGCCGAGCGGCGCGTGGGAGACTGCCTGTCGAGCAGTGCACGCGTGTCATCGAAGTTCTTGGCCTACTTGTCCTGCCTCTATTACTATGGCAGTCCCCTCCCCGTTGCCCTGAAAGGCATGGTGGGAGGGCGACGGTGTTCGCGGTGCGTGCCATTGCGGAGTCAGCTAAGAACGGAGCTAAGAACGAGAGAAGATGAGGAGGGACGGGGCTGACGGAGGGAATGGCTTTGACGACGAAGAACGCCAGCAGCGCATGTGACGGTGGCGAGAAAATGAGTTTTTGTTCTCGCGAGGGTCGGTCTAGTCTGGTCCGGTCTGGCCTGCGACTCCTTTGGGATCTGCGAGTTGGACTTTCGTGTGAGTTACTCTGTTTTCGTGTGAGTTACTCTGTCTTCGTGTGTGTTACTCTGTTTTCGTGTGAGTTACTCTGTTTTCGTGTGAGCTACTCTGTTTTCGTGTGAGTTACTCTGTTTCGCTACGTGTCGCTGAGAAAGGGAGGAGCTAGGGATTTGGAGATTGACACTCGGAAACCGGCTTGTGACGCGGAAGTCACAGCAGGGCACAACATGCCCTGGTTACCATTTACAGCCAGGTGTAGATTTTGGGCGTCGGTGGGCTCAATGATTGGTGGCATTGCCCAAACTCTTGGGGAATTACAGCCTTCTTATTGGCTTGCTAACAATGAAGGAGATTTTCCTATCCCAGCCTACGTGTCGTGGGAGATCAGAATCACTCGATCAAATCTTGCTTGGCCACAAGCATTCCATCTGTAGCAAACCTTCCTATCTTTGTGAGGGCGTCCGAAGAGTACGTCCAAAAGAGTACGTCCGATAAAGGTTTGGACCTGAACCAAAGCGGTCTAATTTAAAATCCAGATGGTTGGGTAGGGTTCTCAGCAAATACGTACATTGTTTACCCTCTAGTTCGAGGCCAGCCAGCCAACCAGCCTTCGGGGACTTCAGTTTCCGCCTTACCTTGCTTGAGAAGCCAAGTGACTGGTTTTCGAAACAGGTGGTACTATGGATACGTTTCAACTGGCTGACAAATTACATCTCAGGCGATCGGCGATGCGCCGCTGCAGGCGGTCCTTGAAGTGGCTGTCCTCGCCGGCGCAGCGACTGAAAGAGCACGGGTCACAGAGGTGTCCGGAGGGGGAAGGGAGTGCTTCATGATTGCGTGATAGGAGGGGAGTAACCCGAATCCACTGAAAGCCGAGCAACACAACTCAGTTCACCGCCATTGGCCTACCGCCGCTAGCCTATATGCACCTAGAATTGAGTTGGGGCTTGCTTGAGTCTCTTAGTGGATTCGTTTCAAACAGAGCCGTTCCAAACAGAGCCGTTTCAAACAGAGCTGCTCCAAACAGGGCTGTTTCTTGCTCAGAAGGCTTGTGTGGATCTCCTGTCGTAATATTCCGAAACCCTCCTGTATTCTTTTGCCTATTCGCCGGTCGTTGGCGGTGATGGCTAGCCGTGGAGATGAGGTAGCTGTCAGTCTTACAGCTCCCGCTGATGCGGAGAATCATCATGAGGTGAGAGTGATGCCGCAGCCAGTGAAACATCACACCATTTTTTTTGCCGATTCCCTCGATTCTCACCACATCCTCCTCCTTAGGAAAAGACAATGGATTTGTAGTATCCTCGCTCTCTAACTCTCCCTCTTTCTGTTAAATTTAACACATTCCCCAACCCAGATCGTGGACGTGGTTGATCTGCTGCCCGGCCCCATCTGGCACATCATCTTCCGCCACTTGCTGCTGGGTAGCGCCTCCGGCGCATCACAAGAGAGAGGAGCAGGCAGCGCCTCCGGCGCATCACAGGAGGGAGCAGGCAGCGCCTCCGGCGCATCACTTCTTAGTCGACTCAAAAAGAAGCTGCAGAGTCTGGGTAACTCCTCGGGCGCATCACAGGAGGGAGCAGGCAGCACCTCGCCGGGTGCCACTGGGAGTGGACTTCTGAGTCGACTGAAAACGAAACTGCAGAATTGGGGTAATTCCTCGGGCGCGTCGCAGCAGGGAGGAGCAGGAGACGCGTCCATCACGGAGGAGCAGCACGCGGAGGCATTGCGGACCTTCGGCTCCTGCTGGCCTCTGCTGCGCTGCGCCATGGTCTGCAAGAGACTCCTCCACCATGTCGCCTCCTTCCCCGTGAGTCTCTCATTGCTCCCCGTGAGTCTCTCATTGCTCCCCGTGAGTCTCTCATTGCTGCCCGTGAGTCTCTCATTGCTCCCCGTGAGTCTCTCATTGCTGCCCGTGAGCCTCTCATTGCTCCCTCTTCTCTGGGTGTTGAGCTATGAAGCGGTCACGGCTAAGCCTCCTCAACCATCTTTGTGTCCGTAGCTGCGTGTGAGGAAGATTTCGAGCCAATGACGCTGCCAAGCAACACTCAGGAGACTTCTAACTTGACTCACAAAGTCGCTCTCTACTCTTACCTTCTCATCGCTTTTAGTGTGTCTGGCCATCTCTCTGTCACACCGTGTGCGAGCAGGACTTGGAGCCCATGACGCTGCCTATCAACCCCCAAGACCCCGCCACGCTCACACGTCCCTCGGGAACGCTCTCTGTCTTCCTCAGGCACGCGCCTCACACGCCCCTCAATGTCCTTCTCAACAGCCCCCAGGACCTTCACTGCCTCAGCCGTCTCTTGGGACCCTCTGCGCGCTCCCTCACAACCTTGTGCCTTGGGCTCAAGAAACCTTACGACAGATTCAGGCTCCTTGAGAGCGAGCGACTGATGCGTTCAGCATTTCTAGGGGAGTTTGAGCAGCTGCAGAAGCTGGAGCTAGGCTACGGGACTTGGCAATTAGGCAGCCTGAATCCAGCAATGTTCCGGGCTTTAAGGAGTCTGAGCATCCACGATTTCCAGCGCGGCAGAAATGTTCTGCCCGTTCTCTCATCCATCGCGCCGCAGCTGCATGAACTCGCTCTCGCCTGCTCCACCCATGGCTGTGGCTCTGCCTCTACCACCCTCGATTTCAAGCTCACCGCTGCTCGATCTATCACAGTCTGCTTTGAGAATCAACCGCTCCACCTCCGCTTCGCCCTGCCTGCCTCTTTGAATTCCTTCTCGGCCACTGCGGGATGTCTTCATGTGGATTGCACATGCAACAGCCGCCTCTCTCTCGACTCGCTCTCTCTCATTGGCCGCTCGCAGCTTCTCGTTTCTTCGCTCCCATTGGCTGCCGCCAAATCCGTCTACCTGAACGGCTCCCAAAAAGACGAGTGGCATGCTTTTCCTTGTTCCAATCTCGAATCCCAACGCGCCTTGTCCCTCCTGCTCAGCAACATAGCGCCTACAGTGGAGACGCTTGTATTGAGGTACGGCTGGCCTCTGGAGGGCGTGCGTGTGGAGTGGAGCCTGCTGCGTTGCCTTTTTGTTGGTATAGATCGTCAGAGCACTGGGGGGATTACTTATAAATCTCGTCCGGGGGATCCGGAAGATTCTGATTTTCTGGCGTTCCTTCGTGAGGGAGAAGAAATGGGCTTCAGCAGCAGCAGCGGCGGCGGCGGCGGCGGCGGCTTGCTCATCAATGCTCCGAACTTGAAGTATTTTTACGATGTCACATGGCTGCTTGATATTGAGATGAGGGAGAGGAGAGGGGGCGGGATTATTTTTGAACGAAGGCGTGGGGTGGTGGTCAGGGATTTGAGTGAGTTGTACGAGGTGTGAGGATTGCATGTGTGAGGGAAGTGTGTGCAGGGACGAGCGGGAAGGGTGGTGTGTGCTGATAATGGTGTTGGCAAAGGTGTGGGCATGGGGTGGTGTGACCAAAGGTGTGGGCATGACGTGGTGTGACCAAAGGTGTGGGCATGGGGTGGTGTAGCCATGGGGTGGTGTGACCTGCTGCCTGCTGCCTGCTGTTGTCTGCTGCCAGAGCAAAGGGCCGCTGTTCCACCAGCTGGTCACAGCAAAGGACTTCGTGAGGGCTGGTTGTAATTTATTGATGTATTTCTGTTGGGTATTGATGCTCTGTGTTTTGCTTGCTTTACTTCCCATTGTTATCCCTCCCACTTGTCTTGGATAGATTATATTTTCCTTCTCTAACTCGCTTGTTGATGCTTCTGCCATCCACAGCTGCACAGAGCTTATCCACCGCTACTGTACATTCCTCTATACCCACGTGTGTACATAAATTCCTCTGTAGAAAGAAAACAAGCACACGTGTGAGCATACCAGTACCACGTACATCTCAAGTGCCCAAACACATGCTCTCCCCAGAAATCATTGGCTCGGCTGATAGCTTCAGGTGCTGCTGCTGCAGGTGCTGTTGCTGCAGGTGCTGCTGCTGCAGGTGCTGTTGCTGCAGGTGCTGTTGCTGCAGGTGCTGTTGCTGCAGGTGCTGTTGCTGCAGGTGCTGTTGGTGCAGGTGCCGTTGCTGCAGGTGCTGTTGCTGCAGGTGCTCTATCCACTACTGTTGTTACAGTCACACTTTAGTTGATTCCTGCACCCTCCACCACATTGGCCTTCGCTACAAGCACATCAATCGGGTGCACGGTATAGTGAGCTGCCATGCGGGTGCTCTCATATGCTGCCAGCAGAGTGAGGGTGTACTCTCTGTATCCCAGCATAACCATCTGTGGGGGTAGGGATGGGGGCGGGGAGGGCAAGGAAGGAGGTAGACAGTGGGTAGTGAGACTGAGCATGGGCTTCTTTTCTAGTCTGCTCAAAAACAGTGAGTACTGAGTCTGAGCATGGGCTTCTTTTTTAGTCTGCTCAAAAACAGTGGGTACTGAGTCTGAGCATGGGCTTCTTTTTTAGTCTGCTCAAAAACAGTGAGTACTGAGTCTGAGCATGGGCTTCTTTTTTAGTCTGCTCAAAAACAGTGGGTACTGAGTCTGAGCATGGGCTTCTTTTTTAGTCTGCTCAAAAACAGTGGGTACTGAGTCTGAGCATGGGCTTCTTTTTAGTCTGCTCAAACACAGTGGGTAGTGAGACTGAGCATGGGTTTTTTTTTTAGTCTGCTCAAAAACAGTGAGTACTGAGTCTGAGCATGGGCTTCCTTTTTAGTCTGCTCAAAAACAGTGGGTACTGAGTCTGAGCATGGGCTTCTCAAGCCAAGGGAAATGGTGTGCCAACTGACCCTTGTGAAGGGCGAATCCCACCCCACCACACTCCATCCCACCCGACCCCATCCCACCACATCCCACCGCTCACCCGCCTCTCATTCGCACTCGCCACCGCCTCTCGTGCCACGTGCTGCACGTCAGCATCTGAGGAGTCAACGAAAGTCAACAGGTGGCCACACGGAGGGGGGATCACCGGCACCACGTGCCTGAGCGCCGCCTCCTGCTCCTCCCGCGTGCTCGCATGCCCCCACCCTGCCTGCACCACAAACGACTTCAACGTGTACTCCCATCCCTCCCCTCCTCCCTCCCCTCCTCCCTCCCCTCCTCCTGTTGCTGCTGCTGCAACGGACGCTGCCGCAGGGGTGGGTGCAGTTGCTGCTGCTGCTGCTGCTGCTGCTGCTGCTGCTGCTGCTGCTGCTGCTGCTGCTGCTGCTGCTGCTGCTGCTGCTGCTGCTGCTGCTGCTGCTGCTGCTGCTGCTGCTTCTGCTGCTGCTATGGCTACCAGTGTGGCTGAGGCTGCTGGCGGAGGGGCAGCAGCAGGGAGCGCGGATTGCGCGGCCACAAGAGGGCGGCGGGAGAGGAGGGCGTCGAAGAAGGCAGTGCGCAGCAGGCTGAGAGCCGCCAGTGTCACGCCGTACTCCTCCCCGCCTGCGCTTGAGTTGCCTGCGCTGCCATTGCCTGTGCTGGCAATGTCTGGGCGGTCCACATAGAGAACTCCGACTGGCTGTAGGCTGTCGTTCTGGCGTGGAGAGGCGAGAGACGGGGAGAAGGGGAGCAGGGATGAAGGGGAGAAGGGATGGAGGGGAGAAGGGATGAAGGGGAGAAGGGATGAAGGGGAGAAGGGATGAAGGGGAGAAGGGCTGAAGGGGAGAAGGGATGGAGGGAAGAAGGGATGGAGGGGAGAAGGGATGAAGGGGAGAAGGGATGAAAGGGAGAAGGGCTATCGCCTGTCGTTTACCTCGTCGTGGCCTCGTTCTGCTGCACAGTGGTGAGTCAGCATGAGTTGAAGGGAAAGAGTGCAACACCCGATCGAGACTCTCGAGGCGAGAGTACAACACCTGTCGTAAGAGAGTACAACACCTGTCGTAAGAGAGTACAACACCTGTCGTAAGAGAGTACAACACCTGTCGTAAGAGAGTACAACACCTGTCGTAAGAGAGTACAACACCTGTCGTAAGAGAGTACAACACCTGTCGTAAGAGAGTACAACACCTGTCGTAAGAGAGCACTCGGAGAGAATCGAGGCGAGGCGAGGCGAGGCGAGGCGAGGCGAGGCGAGGCGAGGCGAGGCGAGGCGAGGCGAGGCGAAGCGATGCTCACCTTGGTGGCGTTGTGCTGTGCCACGGCGAATCGCGCCATGGCGATTTGGCTCTCGTTACTCAGCCAGTCGAAGTCGATCTCCCAATTAGGGTTTGGAGGGGAGCCGTTTGCTGCTGCCGAGAACATAGGCGGAAGACACACTCGACACGTGGATGCCACGTGGCAAAGGATAAGGAGGCATAACGGGCAAGTCAGGTGCTGCCGCATGCAACGGCGACGGCTCGTCATGATCGCCGCATCTTTTCGAGTGACACTGTAGCGAGCAAGCTCTTAGTTCGTGTGACTGATATAAGAGTCAGTTCTGGACCGCGGTGTTTGTTTAGGCGTCAGTTCTGCGATAGGCTTCTGCGATCGGCGTCTCGAATCATGATGGTCTTGAATGTTTACCACTAATAGCGTCTGGTTCCGCAAGAGTGTGATTTTTCCAACCCTCTCCTGAATGATCAAACGAGTGGGAGTCGAGCTGCGCATGGGAGACTGTCTGAACACATCTCGCCAAAGTTCTTGGCCATAACTGATATTGACGATCCCTTTCCAGTTGTCCTGAGAGGCATGGTGGGAGGGCGGCGGTGTTCGCGGTGCGAGCCATTGCAGAGCCAGCTGAGAACGATTGAAAGAAGCGGGAAGGAAATGAGGGAGAACAGATTCGATCAGGACGAATGGGACGGGTGGAGCGTCTCGTCACAGTTGGCAGCGCATGTGACGGTGGCGTGGCGAGATAAGGTGTGCTTCCTCTCAGCTGGGTCGCTCTCGCCTCTCGTCTGCGTGATCTGCGCGTACGACTAGCGTGACGGAAATCGAACTGTGGAAGAAAAGGTGAGGAAGAAAAGGCGAGGAAGAAAAGGCGAGGAAGAAAAGGCGAGGAAGAAAAGGCGAGGAAGAAAAGGCGAGGAAGAAAAGGCGAGGAAGAAAAGGCGAGGAAGAAAAGGTGAGGAAGACCCGTGGCGAAGTTTGGCACCTGCTGAGTGTTTGTTACATCGATTCGCTTATGGTCGCATAGATTCGCCAAGGGGATGGAGGAATTACTCTTATTTATCTACAACTTCGTTCCCTCCTCGAGTTGTTGCCAAATCGACGGTTCTGTGCGGTGGTGGTTTTGTGTACATTCTCGAGGTTTGCAAAGATCGCATCATCTCGCCGACCTCGTGTCATCCTATGTCCGAATACGCTCGAGAGCGCAACTGCGCGAAAAGGTCAGATGGAGCGAAACGAGCACTACCGAGTCAAGCATGTTACTCGAGGCAAAACCTTCGCCTGGGTCGATAAAATCCGACGAAACTCGGATTTGCGAGATACTTGATTTGCGACGCATAACGTGTGGTTCACTCGAAGTGTTTCGTGATTGCCTCAGTTGTAGCACCGCCGGAACCAACGTGCGGGGAGACAGAAGCAGAAGATCTCGGGTCTGAACGGGAAACAGGAAAAACCTAGGGAAGCAGAGCTAAGTCAACAGCTCTCTGTACGGCAATTACTCTGGTCCGACAATGGCCACTGGGACCAGAGCAATTGCTGTGCTCGGCGATGGCGAAACGTCGTGGAATTGGTGGAAGCTTCCTGGCGCAGAGCTTGTGCATCTGTTGCCGCATAAATGCTATCATGCGGAAACGGAACACCAGCATAATCATGCTGCCAGCGTAACAAACCCTCGCCTTCACTGCATACTAGAGTTCCCCTCGACAGAAACCTTGTTTCTTGTGTAGGCGCCGTACTTGTCGGTTCCAAAAACCCCCCGATTTCGAACGACAGCGTTTTTTCCTACGTAGGTCGACCATTAGCGCTGATGGCTGGCTATGATGGAGATGAGGTGCTTGCGGGAGATCACACTCTCAATCTCACAGCGCCTTTTGATACCGAGAAGCACCACGAGGTGAGAGTAATGCCGCAGACAGTCCGCCTGAGGCGCTACAACCGTGGTTCCCAGCAGGTTCCCCTCCCTTCTCACCACGCCAGCTTCTCAGGACGAACGAGAGAGGTCCGACCTCTCATTTTTTTTTCTCTCTCTCTCTCTCTCTCTCTCCCTCTTTTGTGTGTGTGTGTGTGTGTTTTTTTTTTATGTTTCACCCACCAGATCGTGGACGTGGTTGATCTTCTGCCCGGCCCCATCTGGCACATCATCTTCCGCCACCTGCTGCTGGGCAAATCACACGAGGGACGCAGAAAGCGTTTAGTTCGACGTTTGAATCGTCTGAAACATAATGTGCTGAATCGGGGTAGCTCCCCCGACGCATTGAGAACCTTCGGCTCCTGCTGGCCTCTGCTGCACTGCGCCATGGTCTGCAAGAGGCTCCTCCACCATGTCGCCTCCTTCCCCGTGAGTCTCTCATTTCTCCCCGTGAGTCTCTCATTGCTCCCTGTGAGTCTCTCATTGCTCCCTGTGAGTCTCTCATTGCTCCCCGTAATCCATGGTAGAGCAACTCTGTGTTCGTAGCTGCGTGTGAGCATGATTTTGAGCCATTGGCACTGCCAAGCTACACTCAGAAGACTTACAAAGTCGCTCCTCTAGTACCTACTCATCGATGTGTCTCTCCACCTCTCTCTCTCTCCATCTCTCTCTCTCCATCTCTCTCTCTCCATCTCTCTCTCTCCATCTCTCTCTCTCCATCTCTCTCTCTCCATCTCTCTCTCTCCTTCTCTCTCTCTCCATCTCTCTCTCTCTCCATCTCTCTCTCTCTCCATCTCTCTCTCTCTCCATCTCTCTCTCTCCATCTCTCTCTCTCCATCTCTCTCTCTCTCCATCTCTCTCTCTCTCTCTCCATCTCTTTCTCTCCATCCCTCTCTCCATCTCTCTCTCTCCATATCTCTCTCTCCATCTCTCTCTCTCTCCATCTCTCTCACTCTCACTCTCTCTCTCTCTCTCTCTCTCTCTCTCTCTCTCTCTCTCTCTCTCTCTCTCTCTCTCTCTCTCTCACACACACACTCTCTCTCTCTCTCTCTCTCTCTCTCTCTCTCTCTCTCTCTCTCTCTCTCTCTCTCTCTCTCTCTCTCTCTCTCTCTCTCTCCATCTCTCTCCATCTCTCTGTCACACCGTGTGAGAGCAGGACTTGGAGCCCATGACGCGGCGTCTCAACCGCCTAGACCCCGCGCCCACACGTCCCTCGGGAGCGCTCTCTGTGTTCCTCCAGCACGCCCCCCACGCGCCCCTCAATTTCGTTCTCAGCGACTCCCGGGACCTGCGCTGCCTCGGCCCTCTCGTGGGTCCCTCTGCGCGCTCCCTCACAAGCCTGGGCCTTGGGCTCAAGGAGCCTCCACTTGAAAAAAATAAACCTACTCGTATTAAGGGACGGAGGCTGAATCCAGACTTTTTTGAAGTGCATAGTTTCAGTTTTGAGGAGAATCAGCAGATGTATCCGGGCGTCCTTGAGGGGTTTGAGCAGCTGCAGCGGCTGAAGCTGGGCCATGGGTTGTGGCAACTAGGCAAACTGAATCCGGCGAGGTTCCGGGCTTTAAGGAGTCTGAGCATCCTCGAGTGTGATGGAAATGATCTGTCCTTTCTCTCATCCCTCGCACCGCAGCTGCATGAACTCACTCTCGCCTCCTCCAATCCTGGCTCTGGTTCGACCACCCTCGATTTCAACCTCACCGCTGCTCGAGCTATCACAGTCTGCTTTGATAGACAAGCGCTCCACCTCCGCTGCGCCCTGCCTGCCTCTTTGAAGAGATTCTCTGCCGCTGCGTGGTCTCTTAACGTGGATTGCACATGCAACAGCCGCCTCTCTCTCGACTCACTCTCTCTCATTGGCTGCTTGCAGCTTCTCGTTTCTTCGCTCCCATTGGCTTCGGCTGTAACCGTCTACTTGAATGGACCAACCAGTCGAGAAAACCAGCAGCTTGCTTTTCCCTGTTCCGACCTCGAATCCCAACGCGCCTTGACCAACCTGCTCAGCAGCATAGCGCCTACAGTGGAGACACTTGTATTGAGGTACGGCTGGCCGTTGGAGGGCGTGCGGGTGGAGTGGAGCCAGCTGCGGCACCTCAGCGTTGGTGTGAACCGTCTTAGAACTCGGGGGTTTAGTTACAAAGACAACCCCGAGGATCCGGAGGACTCTCGATTTTGGAGGTGCTTTGGTGGGGAAGAAGAGAGCAGCAGCAGCAGCAGCAGCAACAGCAGCAACCTGTTCATCAATGCTCCGAACCTGGAGTCTATTTACTATGCCTCTGAGGAGTGGCAACCGGGCATTCCAGCTTCTCTGTGCAGGCAGTTCCCTTGTCTGGTATCGTACAGCGTTGAAGATCCATCGTCTCTCTATCATGTGAGCAGGTGGGAGAGGAGCGGTGCAATTAGGTCAGACAGGCGTGGCAGGTTAGTATGGGATCACAGCGAGTCAGAGCGATAGCACGGGGTCAGATTGTGTCACGGTGATAGCATGGGGTCACATCATGTCACGGTGATAGCATGGGGTCACATCATGTCACGGTGATAGCATGGGGTCACATCATGTCACGGTGATAGCATGGGGTCACATCATGTCACGGTGATGGCATGGGGTCACATCGTTTCACGACGGTCAGATTATGTTCCCCACCCCATGCCATGGGTCAGGGCATGGTGCAGGCAGGATGACTGATCGAACCATGAGGCACTTCGTGCTTTGAGAGAAGAGAGGGAGCAGGGTGGCTGGGGTAGTGAGTCGGTGGAACCAAGATACACTTGTGTGAGGGTTGCATGTGTGAGGGAGGTGTGTGCAGGGTCAAACGGGAGGCATGCTGTGTGCAAATGACGGTGGCGGTAAGGGTGTGACAGTAGGGGTGGTGTGCACCTGTGTGGTGCTTGCTAAACCCATGATGATGGGATGTCAATGGTGCTGGCATTGGGGGTACCGTAATGGTGGACATACGTGGTACTGCTGCTGTGCTGCTCTCTTGCTGCCTGCTGCCTGCCTGCTGCCTGCTGCCTGCTGCTCCACCAGTTGAGCACAGTAAAGCACAGGAGTTAGTGAAGATAGTTATGTATTGATGTTTTGTATATATGCTTGTATTCTGGTATTGATGCTTTGTATTGCTTTTTTCTGTTTTGCATCCAGCAAAGCGAAGAGAGACCACCCACCCATAAATCCCTCTGTAAAAAGGAAACATGCACATACAAGGGAGACAAGCACACGAGGCAATGTTACAAATCCCACCGTTGTAACTACAGAAGAAAAGCCAGCCGTGGGCAGTGTGGTGCAGTTGGCAAGGAGGACATGGCCCACGGGTGGGGAAGCACAGTCAACGAGCAACACGCCCTCCTGCTTTTGCACTGTCAGCAGCGCTGCAGGTCCTGCATCCACCGCTGCTGTTACAGTCACGCTGTAGTTGATCCCTGCCCCCTCCACCACATTTGCCCTCGCTACAAGAACGTCCAGCAGAGTCACATTCAAAGAGAGGCTGCTGTTCCGATTGAGTTGGTGGAGGGCGAAGAGAGCGAGGAAGCGGATCGAGAAGCCATTGTAGGTGTCGGTATAAGGGGTGGTAGTGGAGGCATTGGAGGAGGCATTGGAGGAGGCATTGCTAGGGGCAGTGGGAATCGTTGAATTGTTAGCAGGAGTAGCAGCAGGGATGAGCACCCACCCTTCATCCACACACACCCCTGCCATGGCCCGTGCCAAGTCCCACTCCACCACCCCACCACCGCCACTTCCACTGTTGCTGTTGCTGTTGCTGCTGTTGAATGCACTGCCCCTGCCACCACCAGCACCACCAGCAGCGCTGCTGCTGCTCGCATTCCTCCTGGCACACCCCCCTGCTGCCGCCACACCCATCTCCCCCGCTGTTGCATTCCGCTGCGTCCCCGCCACCACCGCAAACGCCGTCACATTCACCAACCCCCTCCCACTCGCACTCACCAACCTTGCCCCTTCAGCTGCTGAAGATGCACCAGAAGCGGCACCACTCGCGTTCGCCCCTTGTGAAGTATCAGCCGTGGCATCGCTGTTGCTCGTCTGCCCCAAGTCCAGTGCGTGCGTGGCATAGTGTGCCGCCATGCGGGTGGTGTTATCTGCTGCCAGCAGTGTGAGCGAGGGTGTACTCTCTGTACTCCGGCATCACCACCTGTGCCTCCAGCACAGAAATCAAAAGCAGCGCCGTGCGCTGTGTGTGGAGGGGAGGCAAGGATGGGAGCCAGCAGCAGCAGTGTGAGTGAGGATGTAACTCTCTGTACCCCGGCACCACCAACTGTGCCTCCAGCACTGAGATCAGCAGCAGCGCGCTCCCCTGTGTGTGGGGGAGGGGAGCAGGCAGAAGAGGGAGAGAGGGAGAGCACGCGCCTGAGCATGGGCCTCGAGTGAAGGGAATGAAGTGCAGCAGACTGACCCATCCCATCCCATCCCACCCCACCCCACCCCACCCCACCCCACCCCACCCCACCCCACCCCACCCCACCCCACCCCACCCCACCCCATCCCATCCCATCCCATCCCATCCCATCCCATCCCATCCCATCCCATCCCATCGCATCCCACCCACCCCATCCCACCCCACCCCACCCCACCCCACCCCACCCCACCCCACACCACCCCACCCCACCCCACCCACCCCACCCCACCCCATCCCATCCCATCCCATCCCATCCCATCCCATCCCATCGCATCCCACCCACCCCATCCCACCCCACCCCTCCCCACCCCTCCCCACCCCATCCCACCGCTGACCTGCCTCTCATTCGCACTGGCCACCGCCTCTCTTGCCACTCGCTGCACGTCCTCCCCTGACAGGTCAACGTAAGTCAACTCATCGCCACGTGCAGCGGTCGGCCGCAGCACCACGTGCCTCAGGGCAGTCTCCTGCTCCTCCTTCTTGCTAACATGCTCCGACCCTGCCTGCATGCTGAACCACTTTAAGCTGTACTCCCCTCCTCCCCCACCTCCTCCTCCTGCTGTTTCCGCAGTGGCTGCTCCTGCTGTTTCCGCAGTGGCTGCTCCTGCTGTTTCCGCAGTGGCTGCTCCTGCTGTTTCCGCAGTGGCTGCTCCTGCTGTTTCCACTGTGGCCACTGCTCCTGCTGCTGCTGGCGCGGCCGGAGTGCCGCCTACGTGAGGCGGAAGGGCAGCAGGCGTGAGTGCGGGTTGCGCGGGCACGACAGGGTTCCAAGAGACCAGAGCGCGTCGTAGGAGGCGGTGAGGGCGGACTGCTGGAGCGGCCGGAGCGCCTACATGTGGTGGAAGGGCAGCAGGCAAGAGTGCTGAAGGCGCGGGCATGAGAAGGTTCCAAGAGACCAGAGCGTCGTAGGAGGCGGTGCGGCCGCGCAGCAGGCTGAGAGCCGCCAGAGAGAGGCGGTACTCCTTGTCGCCTGCGCTTCAGTCGCCTGCGCGCTCCACCCTCACCAGACTGATCGGCTGTAGGTTGCCGTTCTGAAGTGGGGAGGCGGGGGAAGAGGGGAAGGAGAGGATACGGGGAGGAGGGAAGGGGCGGAAAACGGAAGAAGCGGAAAGACGGAAAGGGGTGAAGGGGAAAGGAGGAGGAGAATGGACCCTCAGCTGGATTGACTTCAAAAGTGCTGCTCTTGAAACAATGTTTGACGCCTGTCGCCCAACGCCTGTCGCCCAACGCCTGTCGCCCAACGCCTGTCGCTTGTCGCCCATCGCCTGTCGCCTGTCGCCTGTCGCCCATCGCCTGTCGCCTGCCTCGCCGTGGTCTCGTTCTGTGGGTCGCGGTGAGTCAGCTTGGGTTCAAGAGTACAACACTAGATTTCAGGCGCCTCAAAACTGGTTCAAGAGTAAGAGCACACAACACTTCGAGAGCGAATCGAGTCTCACCTTGGCCGCGTTGTGCTGTGCAACTGCGATTCGAGCCATGCCAATCTTCTCCTCTTCACTTGGCCAGTCCGGATTAGGGTTTGGTGGGGTACTGTCTGCTGCTCCCGTGAACAAAGGCGGTAGACATGCACGACACGTTGATGCCACGCAGAGGATAAGGAGGCACAGCGGGAAAGTCGGACACCGCCGCATCTCAACGCGGCGGCTCGTCATGATCGCCGTGTCTACTCGAGTGACTCTCTAGCGATTTTCCTCACGCCCCGTGACCGTTAGGCGTCAGTACCGGAACGCGGGGGTTGTTCTTGCGACATGCTTCAGCGATGGCGACTTGAATGGTTACCACTAGGTTCTGGTTCCGCAAGAATGCATTTTTTCAACCCTCTCCTGAACGATCAAAAGCTTGTGAGTCGAGCGGCGCGTGGGAGGCTGCCTGTCGTGCAGTGCACGCGTCTCGTCGAAGTTCCTGGCCTACTTGTCCTGCCTCCATTACTATGCCGGTCCCATCCTTGTTGTCCCGAGAGGCATGGTGGGAGGGCGACGGTGGTCGCGGGGCGTGCCATTGCGGAGTCAGCAGAGTGCGAGAGAAGATGAGGAGGGAGGGAGATGAGGGAGAGACCAGATTTGACGAGGACGAACGCCAGCAGCGCATGTGACGGTGGCGAGAAAAGGAGTTTCTGTTCTCAGCAAGGTTGGTCGGTGTGGTCTAGTCTGGTCTGGTCTAGTCTGGTCTAGTCTGCGACTCTCTGAGATATGCGAGTTGGTGTTACGGGTGCAATGAATCAAAGTAGCGAGAATTGCACTAAGTGTCAAACGAGTACCAAATGTGAGCGAAGGTGTAAGGAATTTTTCCGGATTCCTTACTGGGTCACTCCGTACGCGTACAACTCCGACTTTCGGAAATCCAGGCTCGGTCCGACGACCTCGCCTTCCGAACCACTACCGCGTCGCCTTCGGGTTTTCCAACCCCGAACCTGCACCCGACCACTTTGCGACCCCGCGACCTCGGCCTAGCTAGACTTGCTATATTGTGCCTAGCCCTCGTTGTTCGATCAGACGTTGCAATCACTTCCGCATTATTGAGTTCTGCGCACTCTCTTCTTTCACAACTTATAACACTTGGTATCAGAGCCTAAAGTCCTAGGTTACCCTCGCGTTTCCGGGGTAGTTTATAGAAGGGGAGCGATAGACTTGGTGGGCTGTTAAGCGGTCGGCCCGTGGAATAGATCTGATTATTCCACTCCGACTACGATTGCATTAACGCCTTCACCGAAGTCAGAAAAATCGCGAGCCAACCCCTGCCCGTTCGACGAAGCCTGAGACACATGGATCAGGCCGAGTTTAACGAGTTCATGCAACAGTTCCGTGCGATGCATGCCAACTTCCAGGGTATGACTGCAGAGATGGAGCGTTTACAGAAGGAAAACGCCGAACTACACCAGGCGCGTGGTGAAGCGCGCCAGGAGTCGCCTGTCGTGGACGACGCAAGTAGCAGCACGACACCAGATGAGCGGGTCTGGAGCGAGCTGGAAGGCGAGATGGATGCGGACGAAGCGAGGCAGGCGCAGCAGGAACAGTCACCACAACAGTCGCGTGCAGTGCCGTCACGTGCAGCAGCGACGACCACGGCGACACCTGCAGCAACGCCAGTGGCACCGATGGCAGCAACGGCCTTCGTGAAAATCAAGCCGACAAACCCGCCCCCGTTTAACCCGAGTGACAAATTTGTCACTGTTTCTGCATGGTTGTTCGGAGTGGAGGTGTTTTTTAATGCTGCTATGATTCATGACGATGCCACTCGCATTAACTTCGCTGTTTCACTGTTGCGAGGACCTGCGCTGGAGTGGTGGAGGCGAACGCTGCAAAACGAAGGGACTTCGACAGGAATAGCACGTGCGAACGACGGGACTTCGACACCTGTCACGCATCAGGCAACATCAATTTTCGGGACGGCTACGATACGCACATGGAGGGAGTGGGGCGCCGCCTTGCGAACCAGATTCGAGCACATATCCGCCTCGGATTCTGCTCGCATGCAGCTGCGTACCTGGAAGCAGTTGGCTTCTGTTCAAGACTACACCAGCAAGTTATGCAACTTGGCGGATCAAGTGGACGACATGAGCGATGCTGAACGGTTGGATCGCTACGTGGCGGGGCTGAAATACGAGATACAGTACGAAGTCCGAAGAACCCGGCCACGCAGCTTCAACGATGCCGTCCGGGAAGCCGAGTCAACGGATGCGCTGATGTAGTGGGCGAGATCGAGCTCCCGGGAGGGCCCTCGATTTCGTGGACAGACCCAGCAGCCCACGATCAACGGCGTGGATGCACCTAGCCGGACCCTTGGGCCGTGCTTTCTATGCAACCAGCTGGGCCACCTGAAAAAAGACTGCCCGAGGCTTAAGCAGGGGAAGAAGAACGACGGAGAAGGGTCGGGAAAAGATACGAGTCAGTAGCAGACGGGCCACCTACTGACGAGACCCTGTCGCCCGACAATCACAATCCACACCGGGTCGTGGTACCGATCAGAGCTATCGACCAGAACCGGACGAATAACGTGGGTGAACACGTGGACTACCCTGTGCTGGTGGTAGGGAGGGTTAATGGATACAAAATTAAACTTTTCGTGGACGGTGGGGCGAGCCACAGTCTCGTCAACCTGGCCACGGCCAAAAAAATTGGGGTGAAGCTGACCAGGTGTCTGCCGGAGATGGATGCACGGTTTGTGAAAACAAAGAACGAGAATGGAATGACTATGAACGAAGTGAGTACAAATAGGAAACCCTAATTGGGTTGTACCCCCTATGGGATACCCCACTATAGCCTACAGAAACAAGTAAGCTATAAGTTCTGACACACCCCCATAGGCAAAGTGGGGGAGAACAAGGGGTCACAAGACCAGTCAAGCAAAGCAAAGCAAAGCTCAGGGTGGATCACAAAGTCACCACGCATTCCGAGCACAAGTTCAAAGGCCACAAGGCCAGTTCACATGCAAGATCATATACAGAGATATACAAGAGCAAGAGTATATATATGCGAAAGTACAAGCAAGGTCAAGAGGAGAGCAAGTGAGGCAAGACAGGCACAAGACCCAACTGCGTGCAGCAACGCTAATGATCACAAGGCGCAAGTGCCTTGGTGAAGACATCAGCAGTGTTGGCCTCAGAGGCCACGTACGCAAGTCGCAGCTGTCCACGCTGCTGTAGCTCACGAGCAAGAAAGTAGCGAAGAGCAATGTGCTTCGTTCTGTGCTCCAGTCGCTTCTCTCGACACAAGGCCAGCATGGCCTTGTTGTCTACGTACAGGACTGGAGGAGAACGAGGCTGCTCTCCAAGGTCGGTCAGCAGGTAGGTGAGCCAGCGTAACTCCTGTGCAGCCATAGCCCCAGCGTAGATCTCAGCCTCACAACTGGAGCCGAGAACAGAAGACGAGCGAGTAGCCCGCCACGAGACAGAGCCGGAACCAAGGCTGAAGGTGTAACCCTGTGACGACCGCTGCGTAGCCTGGTCGTCAGCCCAAGAAGCGTCTGCGTGCCCAGAGAGGACCACTGGACTGCGCCCTCCAAGCACTAGCCCCATGCCCGACGTACTGCACAAGTAGCGCAACACCCTCTTCGCTGCAGCCATGTGCTCTGGTCGGTGTCTCCCAGGAGCAACAAAGCGTGCGAGAATGCTAAGAGGGTATGCGAGGTCAGGTCGTGTGCAGGTCATCAGGTACATGAGGCAGCCAACAAGCTCTGCAAACGGGCCACTCGACTCTACGGACTCATCCGAAGGCAGAGCTGAGAGCGAGTGGCGAGTAGGCAGAGGAGTGGCCTGAGGCGAGGAGTACGTGAAGCCGAAGCGCTGAAGGACCTGCTGCACCATGTGTGACTGAGTCAGGGTAATGGTGCGGCGTGCTCTGTCCCGGGTGATCTGCAAGCCAAGGTAGCTGCGCAGTTCACCCAGGTCAGTGCACGTGTGTCTCTTCTGCAGCTCGGACTTCACGTAGGCGAGTCCAGCAGTGTCAGCTGTGGCAAAGACCAAGTCGTCGACGTACACGAGGATGTAGAACGGCGGCAGAGAGGTGTCGGTGCG